AAAATCTTTAAAAAAAAAAAAAAAAAAAAAAAAACAAGAGCTGGGCCCCCCTGGTCTTCTAGAAACACTTGGAGGCCGGCGAGTGGGGATCCAGGTGGCTTCTCTGAGGTGTTGAGTAGCCCTGCCTGGGAAGGAAGTGGGCTGAAGGGCCAGGCCGTTGCCAAATCTGGGGTTTGGGGGATCTGCTGGGTCAACAAGTCCTGAAGAGGAAGTGGTGGGAAAAGGAAGTGGATGACTGGGTTTGGCTGAGTTGGCCGTGTCCATCCCCTGTCCCACCCCACTCCCCACCACGAAGTCCCCTGTCACCCACACACCCACCTATGCCTCAGGCCAGGCTCCCCAGGGCTTGGGTCAGAGCCTCCTCCCCCGCATCCGTGTCACGTGACCTTCCCCGGGCACCACACTTCTGGCCTCCAGGAGCGTATTACTCCAGATTTCGCCTTGTCTGATAGGAATACGATGTGAGCCACATACGGGAGCTTACATTTTCCAGCAGCTAAGCAAGGGACAAGCAAAGAGCAACCAAAAGAATCAGATAACACAAATTTGGGTGATATATTTTATTGAACCAAATATATTTAAAATATTTTCATTTCAATAGGTGATCAATATAAAAAGTTATCAAGAGATCTCACATTGCTTTTTCCTACCCATTTTTGAAATCTGGAGTGTATTTTCCACTCACAGCATCTCAGATGCACCACATTCCAAATGCCCAGGAGCCTCCTGGGGCCAGCGGCTACCATACTGGACAGCAGAGGGCTAGGACTCCTTCACTAATGTCCAGACCATCTACAAATTTCCCTTTCTATAACATCCAACAGCGGGAGCTCCATATGTCTAACACTCCCAGGTTCTAGAATCCTATGATTCAAATAGTCTGTGACTCCCACTGTCGGATCCCTTGGACCTAACAGCTTGTGATTCCAATGTTCTACGAGTCTGTAATTTCAACACTTCAGAGTCTTTGATCTAGATCGGGGGTCGGCAAACTCCAGCCTGGGGCTAAATCCGGCCCACTGCTTGTTTTTGTAAATAAAGTTTTATTGGAACACAGCTGTGGCCATTCAGTCTGTGCCTACTTTCATTCCACCAAGGCAGACTGAGTAGCTGTGACAGAAACCTCGAGTGACCTCTTGGCCAGCAAAAACTAAAATATTTACTCCTTGTTCTTTTACTGATCAGCTTACACTGATGTTACCTACACTCTTTCCCGTGCATCAGATATCACATAATAATATACATTGTCCAAAAGGGACTTGTTTCCCCATCTTGGGCATTCATTTACCCTTTCAGGTTTCTATAATTGTGTTAGGTTGGGGGCACCTGGCTGGCTCAGTCGGTGGAGCGTGTGACTCTTGATCTCGAGGTTGTGGGTTCGAGCCCACATTGGGGGTGGAGATTACTTAAAAAGAAAATCTCTTTAAAAAATTAATTAATTAAAAAATTATGTTAGGTTGAGCTCCATGAAGTTGCCACACTTCATCTCATTTTGGGGTGAGAGGGTGTAACGGCTCATTATTTATTACTTAAAAAATTATAAAATATGAGCCACATAAAATTCACCATTAATGGCATTTAGTACATTCCCGTGGGGTGCAACGGTCACCATTCCCTAGTTCTGGAACATTTTCATCACCCCAAAGAAACCCCATCCTGCCCCCCAGCCCCTGGCAACCACTAATCTGCTTTCTCGTTAACAGATTTGCCGGAATGCAAACTTTTTTTTTTTTTTAAAGATTTTATTTATTTATTTGTGTGTGTGAGAGAGAGAGCACAAGCTGGGGGAACCTCAGAGGTAGAGGGAGAAGCAGGCTCCCGCCGAGCAGGGAGCCCGATGCGGGCTGATCCCATCTCATGACCTGAGCCGAAGGCAGACGCTTAACCCACTGAGCCACCCAGGTGCCACCAACCTATTTTGACCCACAACATGGCAATTTCCTATGTCAATGTAACTGTCTAAGGTCCTTCTTCTTCTAGCTCCCCCCGTGTTGAGGGGCTGGTACTTGGCGTCTTTCGGAGTGGCCGTAAAAAGGAATCCCACACCCAGAGCAGCCCTCCCTTTCTATAAAAGCTGTGTCTCCCTCCCCCCATGCCCGCTCTCCACCTCCAGCCATCTGCAGGCTATGGAGACCCTGGCCTCTGCCCCCAGCATCCCCCAGCCCTCGGGGAAGAGCCCCCAGCGCCAGGGACACCAGAAAACCTCAGGCCCCCAGAATCTGAGAAACGTGCACTTCAGGATCAGTGACCACGGCATTTAGGAAGCTCTACTGATCTGAGAGACACACTCCTGTAAATCTGAGATCAGTGGAAGTTTGGGCTGATCAAGGACAGTCCCCATCCTGAGCTTCTGCCATGCTCGTCTCTTCTCTGACCAGGGTGGGTTCCCATAGGATGTGGGAGATGAGGAGGCCTCCCAGAGCATGGCAGGAGGGGATAGAAGGGGCGTTTGTCTCGTCGGGAGTGTCTGGGGCCACAACAAGGCTCAGCCAAGACAGGGGGGGGAGCGGGAGAGGGAAAAGCAGACTCCCCGCTGAGCAGGGAGCCCGACGTGGGACTCGATCCCGGGACTCCAGGATCATGACCTGAGCCGAAGGCAGTCGGTTAACCAACTGAGCCACCAGGCACCCAGAACAATGTCCTCTAACAACACGGTTTTATTCCCTAAAGGACATCAAAAGAAATGTGTAAATATATCCCCTCCACCCAAAGCATGCACAGAGAGAAGTATATAGCCACAAAAGAACTGCTGAATAAGAGTTCTGAAATTGGAGAACCACTTCCTCTTGCTAAGCCTTCTTAAAATGTACATTTTAACAATTTCTATTGTATTCTTTTCGTCATTGTTAATTTAACACGTAGGGAGGCACAGCCGATGGGCCGGTGAGCCGGGCACCCACGGATGTGCTTGAAATCTCTTCACCCATGTATTGCTCAAGGCAAAACGTCCACTGCACAGATGAGGAAGTTGAGGCCCAGGGAGGCCGAGGCCCTGGATCTCACCCACCGTGGACCTGGACTATGAGTCTCGTCATTCTGGCCCTCAAGTTCACGTTCTCGGCCTGGCGCCTGTGCTGGGAGTGAGGTTAGGGACCACGACGGTCAACATCCTCCCATTTCAAAGACGGGAAACTGGGGGAACAGGAGGGATATGATTTGTTTGTGTTTTTGTCTGCCCTGTGGTTGACGACCTTGGCCCTTTTGTGGGGAATGTGACCCTGAGCTGTTTCTCTCAGTACACGGAAGGCGGGAGGAATATTTATCTGTCTTCAAGGCTTTGCAGAGAGCAGAGAGAGGGGACTGGTATACATTTGGAGGCTGGGAGGTGGGTAGCGGGCAGTGGGTGCTCCCTGAGGATGACCCCAGAGGGCCCCCCGGGGAAGTGAGAGTGAAGACCTCCAGGCCTTCAAGGTCAAACCGCATGCAGATCTAGCTTCCAGGAACAGATGGCATTGATAAACTGGGGTTGGTGACACTGGGTCAACTCTCCACCCACCTTCCTTTGCTGCCCAGTAATTTTGGGATGTGTGAGTCATGGGAAGAATACAGGACAAACACACCCTTAGAGTACGAAAAGGCCACTCCTGTTTTCCCCTGGTTATTGAGATTGGCTGGGGCCCGTGAGGTGGCAGTGCTCAGAGGCATCCCTTAGGAGCCTCGGCAAGGGGGATGAAATTCCAGGAATCCACCAGCTGCCAGACGCCGGGAGAGACCCCCAGACCTCCCGGGTCCTGGCTGTGAGCCCGGATCAGGCTTCTGAGTGGCATCTGGTCAAGATGAGGATCCTCTTACAAGAGCCGGTAAGGATGGAGGGAAGGAGGGAGGCCAAGGATGGGAGGGTGGCATTTGGCCATCTCGGCTTTGTAGGCTAATTCTTTTCAGAATCTGGGAATCAGAAACGGCAATTTGAGAGGTGGGATCTTATCACCGTTACATTGGAATTCCAGGCTCTTGGAATTCACTTCGGCGGCCCAACAGAAAAGCTTTTGGTCAAAGGGTCCACGTATCTGGCACGCTCAGGTGTACAGCAAAGGACGATTCAGGGCGCCTGGGTGGCTCAGATGGTTGGGCGTCTGCCTTCAGCTCAGGTCATGATCCCGGGGTCCTGGGATCGAGCCCCGCATCGGGCTCCCTGCTCCTTGGG